AATGCCGATCCTGATGTTCCTGATAATGATGGAAGAAGCCCCTTGCACTGGTAAATACAGGCTTGTCTGAAACTGTTTCTTGGATGTGATTGTCTTACTTTGCTATTTTCCATTTCTCCTTTCAGGTGTGAAAACTATCTTGTTCCTATGGGGACCTGTTGGTTTTTTATTAATTTTTTCTTCGGGACTTTACATTCTAAATCTAAGTTCTGGGTATGTCATGCGAGTTTCATCTTCTCTGTATTGGTCCATGCCTGTTGGAGTACCTATACTTTTGTTTAATATCTTATTTATCATGTTGTCTTAAATGTTCCAGACGATAGCTGGTCCTGATACTTGGGTTGGTAATTTCTCTTTTCATCTTCCTTGATTTTATTTCCCATTTGAAGATCTTTTACAACAGAAGTCTTTACCCTGTCAGAGCGTTCTTCCTTAAATGTCTAAAGAACAAGTTTGAATTGGTCAACCGAGACAACTCTCTATGAGATTCAAAGACAGTATTTGGGTTTCTGCTCGGGTCTTCCTGGCACTTGGATGTTAGAATGATATAGTTAATCTCAAAAGTCAAAATTCATTTGTCGATATTCCTTATTTATCAGAAGACTAGCCCTAAATTTTTTCTTCCTTTTTTTTCTCATGTTTTGAGAAACTCAGGGCCGCATATAAAGGTTTCGCTGATTGTATTCGCCTTCTTTTGTTTATGGATGCATATAGAGGACGACAGGACAAAGAAGGTAATTCATATATAATCGACTATTGTCTTTTAAAATTCCTACCTCTTTCTTTATCATCTGAAATTAGAAAACAGACCATGCATGAATTTCTTGTTCCATTTTGTTGATTATGCTCTCAGGTTGCACTCCTCTCCACTGGGCTGCTATACGGGGAAATTTGGAGGCGTGCACGGTTTTAGTGCAGGCTGGGAAGAAAGATGATTTGATTATTACTGATAATACTGGGCTTACCCCTGCACAACTTGCTGCTGAAAAGAATCACAGACAAGTTGCTTTTTTCCTTGTAGGTATTCATTGTCTTCTTGGTTATGGATTTCCTTTTTAACTGACTGTTGATTTGACTCTCTCATAGCCTTAGCACCAACCCACATAGATGCCTTGGAAACAAATTGTACTGGCTAACTGTGTCTGTAATTTTCCTAGTTTGGTTCTGTTCAAATTGATGAACAACACTGTGCGTAGTGTTCTCAGAAAATTCAAATTTGGTGAATCTATTTTTGCGTGCTTGTCTTTGACTATTATATTATATGCAGGGAAATGCTAGAAGGCTGCTTGAAAAACGGTGTGACGGAAGCAGCACCCTTGGAAGATTATCAAAGCTGGGGCTTGCTCCAATACTTTGGTTCATGATCGTGCTGCTTCTTCTCATCTATACCAATTCTGTAGTTTTGGGTATCTGCTTTGGCCTGTTTGGATCTCCTAAATGTGCATCTTAGAAAATAATTATTCATGTATCATGTTTCATTATTAATTTGCAAATTGTTTTTCCATTCTTGCAGCATCCAATCTGCCAAAGCTAACAAGTGGGTTCGGTGCCCTCGCATGGCTGGGTTTCTTTTTGGCAACTGCAGGATTATTTTTGTTTTATCGGTGTAGCAGGTATGTGATGACCTAGTCTTTTCCAATCTCCTTTTCTTCATCTTTTAAGAACTATTGTGTGTATGCTTGTCTCTGCAATCCTTTTATCTATACAATATGTCTGTCTGTGTCTGTACTCTGTATCTTCTCTAGTGGAATGTTTTTCTGTGGAAGCATTCTTGGCTCAATTTCTTGTTAGTTTCATCCAAATCAGCTAATATTGCTTACTGCTCATCATTTACCTTCTTTTTACTTTTCTTTTATCAACTGTAGCAGTGTCTATTGTCGTAAAGTTTTATCTTAATCAGCGTGCCCTTTGCTGAATGCTGCTGGGAACATTTGACATAATTCATGATTTCTGTTTTCAGCTATATCTTTGTGTGACAGACATGAGATTTATTTTATTCTTAAATTTTATAATTTTCGTTTGCAGAAAGGATCCTGGTTACATCAGAATGAATATTCATGATCCACAGAACATGAAAGACGATGTGAGTATTATTAGCTTTAGTATTGTGCATCCTACCCTGCCTCATAAAGCCTCGCCTCTTCTTTTTCTTCCAGAAACGTCATTGCGTTTTTTTTAATAAAAAATTTGTTTGGGTACTCTTTCTAGGAACCATTACTGAAAATAGAGCTGAACAATCCTGCTTTACTTGCTGGGAATTGGACACAGCTCTGTGCAACATGCAAGGTATCTGTGAAACTTCTGTTCTTTTTTTTTCTTTTGATAAGTTTAGCTTCACATTTATCTATTCACCAAATATTGTGTTATGACATTCTTTCTTTGCTAATCACTTACTATGACTTGTCAGATCATAAGACCTCTTCGAGCTAAGCACTGTTCAACATGTGATCGTTGTGTAGAGCAATTTGATCATCATTGTCCTTGGGTATCAAATTGTATTGGCAAAGTAAGTTCAGGCTTGACATGTCCCTTTTTTCATCTGCTATTTCTACGATTATCTTCATTGACTGGCACTTGGTTCATTTTTTATTTTCAAACCTAGATCTCTCATTGATCTGACGAACCTCTGTTTCTCATTTCTTTCCAACTGATGCAGAAAAATAAGTGGGACTTTTTTCTTTTCCTTTTCCTGGAAGTTCTAGCAATGCTAATAACAGGCGGTGTCACTCTTACAAGTACGTTATTGGTGGAAGTTGACGTTTAACTCTTATCGTGACATATGATTCTGTTATAAAAAAAAAAGCAATCATAGAAATTTAAATGAACGAGTAAAATTCTTGGTAATGCAGGAATATTGACTGATCCTTCAGCTCCGTCTGCATTTGGAGCATGGTTGGGCCATGTTGCTACTAATCATGTCGGTGCCATGTCCTTTCTGATAGTGGAATGCTGCCTCTTCTTCTCTGTCGCCATTTTAACTGTCATACAAGCTTCACAGGTTTGTCTTCACGCCTCGTTTCCTTTCTTTTTAACGGTTTGCCTTCCTCTTTTTCTTTATGATCGTTGATACTATTTGTTATAAGATGGTTTGGATCAGTTATTTCTCCATTATCTGATATAAAAATATCGTCTGAAATTCCTTCCCGGGGTAAAAGTTTCTTATCGGTCGGTGTAACCACTCGTTAGAAAAGCTATCACCCTATTCTCATTTATTTTTCGGTGTTTGTCTCATGGGTGTTTTGGCCAGTACCTTGTTACCCGAACTTTTCATGCTTTTGTTGACAGATATCGAGGAACATAACCACCAACGAAATGGCCAACGCAATGCGCTACAGCTACTTAAGAGGCCCGGGTGGTCGATTCAGAAACCCTTACGACCACGGTTGCAGAAGAAACTGCTCAGATTTCCTTATAAAGGGATATAATGAAGACATTGAGTGTCGAGAAGAAACCTCGTCACCAAGAGAAGAAGGTATTGGTATGATCCAAATGCAGCATAATCCAAACTTTCAAGACGGAACTAGCGTTAATTCCGGCAACGCCAATGGAAGTTCCCATGTCGCTATCGATGTTGGCAACACCAATCATCATCATCATAATCAGCATCATGTTCATTCTTCAAGCTGCAGCCATGGTAGTAAACATGTCAGGTCAAAGAGTGACAGTGTACCGTTGGGTTTAGGTCTCGGTCTCGGTCGCAGCTCTTCCCGACCCGTTATGCCTCCATGATATAACGGTAACGATATTGCCTCGTCCTCATTTCTCGAAATCGCGCAATCTGTGTTGCACGGAACACGTAATTGCTCGGTAGTTGGTTGGTTCGCTCTCGGTATTTGGTATCGGTTTTCTTCTCTGATTCTGTTCGTCTTTTCGGGTTCTGGGTGGTGATGATGCTGCAGCATGCTCTTATATCTTCAAAGAGGTCAGGAAAAAGAGGCATATTATTCTTTTGGCGGTTGCACATAGATGCCATTGTTTGAGCTTTGTAAAACAGATCAGGCAAAAGTTTTAAGCTTTTGCTGTTTTGGTCACAAGTTCTTTATCTTGTTTTGAGGTTTCACTTGTATTTTATTGTAAGCCATTAACGGATGAATCCTAGATTGATAAGTTCAGGGGTTAACATATAGTATTTTACATCAATTGTATGGAGAAATTATTACTTTTACTAGTTATAAGAATGATTCTTGCTCAAAATTCCAACTAAATTAGTCTTTGAGCAGATGCCTTAAACCTTCATTTATGTCGAACTGAGTAAATGCTGGGTGCCAGTGTAAGTATAGGGTATCCGAGTTTTTCAGCAATTCGATTTCGGATTTTTTACGGTCTACCCGATCTTGTCTTTAAGAAGGTCGAGTATCTGAAATTCGGGTATTCAGGAATGCGGAGGGGGTCTGGACTTATCCATGGAACCCAAGTTCGAATTTTGTGACTTGGGTTTTCATCGACGGCAGACCCGATTCGTATTCAGACAGAAAATCATAGGTATCCAAAATTTGGATGCTGGTGGGATAGATATCTGTAAATACCCGAAATTTGGAAAGGATACCTACAGATACATATACTCAAAATTCGGATAACCATAACCCACCTGCCCTGACTGCTGCTTGTCTTAAAACTTAATTTTCTGTCAGAACTGGGAACATAACAGCAACATAAAGGTACAAAAGAATGTCTGAATGAGTTTTCACACAACTCTGGGGGAGGTTCCAGAAAACAGTTGGTCTCTCTCTCTCTCTCTCTATATATATATATATATATATATATATATATATATATATATGCTTCACTCTCTCACTAAAAAACAAATTTCAGACAAAACCAATGAAGTAATCAAAGCTCTGTGTTATCTGTTTGCTTACACAGCTCACCAGAAGAGACATTGAAGCAGAAGACACAAACTTCGGCAGACCAAACTGGATAATCTCAGAAAGCTTGGGCCTCAATTTCTCCAATGTCAATTCTCAAAGTTGAACATATGATCGTTACCCGAAAAAACCCAAATAAGATACCACCTGTAATAATCGAGACATGGAAATTTGCACCCGCAAAAGAACCTGCACAGAGAGATCTCATAGTTAGATCTTGTTATCGGTGAATAACCAATCATATGGCATCAAGAAATAGCATTTCCAGTTTCAGAGTTGCAGAAGTATGCCTTCAACCACAATGGATTTCGGTCTCTGATACGTGAAAAATATCCGAGATTCTCCTCTTAAATATCTTTCGCAACTGGTCAGAAGGGATCTCGGTTCTCCATGTTTTCGCTCCATCTATCTCGTTACATATCTGTGTTACATCCTCCATTTGGAATCTCATATCTGCAGTAAGAACAAAGAAATGGTTCTCATATATATATATATATATATTGTGCTCGAAATCTTGCAAGGTAAAATGCAAAGTTAGATCGGATCCTACCCCTAAGAGTATTATTTTTTGCGTAATTTTCCTCGTCCATGGCACATGTTCCAGCCACCTCAAACTTCTTCATTGCAGCATCTAGACATTCTTTCCAGACGGGTAGGTCGAGTTTGTATTCCATTAACGATCTCTCGTAAAGTATGGCAGCCCACAAAATATTTAGCCGAGACTTGAACTTTTCCGCTGCATCTGCTCGGGTATCTAGATGTGGACCGTCCGGTATCTCTCCATGCAACTTTTTCCACAATTGTATACTCTTTGCTATGTTGTTTTCAGCCTTTTGATAAAGCTGTAACACAACTTCACAAGGCCATGTTTTCAAATCAATATGGCTGAAAAGTACATAATACCAAGAAAGTTTTGCCTCCTCAAATTGCTGCAGACCTAATGCCAGGAAGGTTTCATATAAATCTGGCTTTATTCTCATGGCTTCTTCATATTTCTTTCTTGCTTCTGTGTATTCCTTCTGAACCCATTCATAAGCAGTTTCAGTCTGCTTCGGTATGGATTCCATAGAAACATTTTGCGAGAAGCTCAACCTTTTCCTTGCTCGGGACATGAACACGTGACCTAGCTTTAACAATGACCGGGCAGCCATTTCTTGGAATTGATCGGCTGCTCTGTCGAAAAGTCCTTGAGCTTCTTCAGAGGTTACTGCCTCCTCCATAGCTTCAGAATAAATTTTCATGCCGAGTTCTTGAAGATTCAAGCATGCACGAGAATCAACTGTGACTTGATCCTTAAAAAGCCGAGCAAATTCAGTCATCCAATCTTCGATTTTACATGTACCTTGTCTTTTCACCTTGGAAATACGAGTATCAATTGTTGTTTTAAGCTTCTTACTCTCGATCAATCTTCCAAAAAACTGGTCCTGTTCAGGACTAACTTCCACAACATAGAATTTCATAGTATCCTGTGTATTTTCCGATGCTTCAGCCATCCTTAATTCTTCATTAGTTGTGATTGTTACCAAATCCCCTTCAGGGTCCCTGTACTTTATATGGACTGCCCTGAGGCTGGAAAACCGATCATGAATGATTTCCCTCAGTTGAAAGAGAGTACAGTTTAACGGTACCTTGGCCCATCTTACATCATCGGCATATATCAATTTTACAGTCTTCTTTACCTCTTCAACACTTTTATGCAACACCTCCTCTGCTATAATCTCTTTATCCTGTTCTTCTCGTGTTTCATCTACCTTATCTGCCCGTTTTTCCTTTCCTTTCTTCTTATTCTGCTTATTGGTAGCTTTTTCCTTGCCCTTTTCTGAATCCAGAACCTGGTTGCTGCCCTTCTTTTTCTTGTCTTGTGTTTTGTCTTCTACAACCCACAGTGCAGTAGAAGCCTCGGCCGGTTCAACGTAATCTGGTGGCAACTCTATAACCGCATCTTTCACCCGTAACCCTTTGCTCTCTAGGGTTCTCCTTAACTTCTCCGAGATTTCGGAAGCCATTGGATTGTTTGGATCCATCTCCAAAACCATGCAAACATCTCTTAGAGCCAAATCCAACTTATTCAATGCCTCATAGCACCTTGCCCTCTTCAACAAAGCTTTGCTATGATTAGCATTCACCTTAAGTGCCAAGTCACATTCATGGATTGCTTTCGGGTATTCATTTGGACCCATCTGCATATAGCATGTGGCCATGTAAGCTCGGATATCAGGCACTTCTTCATGATCCCTCGGAAGCACTTTGATTGCTTCCTCGTATCTCGACATTGCCCCTTTGTAATCCCTCTTCTGAAACAACTTGTTTCCCTCTTCCTTCAATCCCCGTGCCCTTACTACACAATCTACTGTCTCTACCATGTTATTGTCATTATCACCATTATCTTCAGATGTTCCCTCATTCTGCAACTTCTGCTTTCCCTTTTGCTTCCCCATTTCAATTCCCAGAAACGAAGCACAGAGGGAGATTCTAAATCCAAGACTTTAACCTCGTATCCAATCCAAGATTCTACCTTTGGCGGTTTAGATTAGATGCTAAATACAAAGAAACCGCCCACGAGATTATGCTGAATTCATGTGAGCTTTCAGAAAGCTATACAACACAATCCGACAAATCTGGCAATGGAACAGTTGCAGACAAGAAATAGTTGCATGATCGCATCAAAGAACACATGCAAAGTGTAGGAAACAGAACAAAACCCAAGACTTACAGATACAGAAGAGCTTCTACGCCTCTATCGTAATCGAGATCTGTAATGGGTAATGGAACAAAATTAAGGAAAGGGGCAAACTTTCCTCTTCTGGAACAAGACGAAGCTATGCGTCGGGAAATCTCATCGGGTGATGGTTTTCTCGGGAAAAAAGGTTTGAACTTTCCGGGAAAATTAGAGGGGAAGGATGAGAGAATGTGGTGGGGATTTGGAGGAGGAGATGATGAAGAAAAGATTCGAGCATGTGGGCTCTGTGCATCTGAAATGGGTAAGATTTCGACAAAGCTTCATCTAAAAGACACGACAAAGGCTGTCGTGCCACAACGAATGCTTCATCTTTGTGGATTTCTTCACATAGGAAAGAAAGAAAAAAAAAGGATAGATTTCATGTGAAGATCTCTATGCAAATTTGTATAATTAAACTAGGAAATTATCTTAAAAAAAATATTAATTTTTTTAATAAATATACAAATTTTTAATTTGACTAAATATTACAAAAATGAATCAACTTCCATAATTTGTATCAATTGTTTTTACATGAATAGTAACGACGTCACGTCAGATTTTTGTAATAATTAATTAATTAAAAAAATACACACATATATATACACACATACATGTATAAATATATATACACTTATACACTACATATATATACATATATATGCACACTTATACACAATTTTTTTGGCGGTTATCAATGTTTTGAATAAAAAAGAAAACTATAATACCAATTTAGAATTAGAAAAATTAATTTTATATGATTCTTATGACCAAAAGTTAACTTTATATTAAAAAGAAAACTATAGTAAAAATATAGTTATCTTGTTTTTTAAAATAATAATTTTTTTGTTCGAACAAAAATATGATTCTCATAACCAAAAATTAATTTTTCAGTTAATCTTATAGATTAGAAAAAAATAATAAGATTATTTATGATATGATATAATTTAAGTGATTGATCTAAAAATATTTTTTTTTTTTGGTTAAAATTGATCTAAAAATATTAGAACACCATATTTTATATGTAGCTATTAATAGTCACTGGATAAGGGTGATAATGCCTTTTTCTTTTTCTTTTTTAATGGGTTTATAATTTTTCGGTGAATCAAAGAAACTCTGGACGACCCAGGATCTCGATTCTTTTCATCATGGAGAAGCCAAAGTTCAAGACTGTCCAAGAAGTCATCGCCGGCGGCGAAGGATTGCCGGAGAGATATCTGCATAAACCCACCGGAGACGGCGAGCCTCTCGACGCATCGGTGCCGGAGATGGATATCCCGGCGATCGATCTCAGCCTCCTCCTCTCTTCTTCCCATGAAGAGTTGACTAAACTTCGCTCATCTCTCTCCACTTGGGGCGTTGTTCAGGTCTCCTCCTCTCCTTTCATTCTTTTACTGATTCAGCTTCTTCTTCTTTTTCCTCTCTGTGTGAAACCAACAACATTGAGACAGTGATTGTGTTTTTGAGTGATTGCTGGGAGAAGTTTCAGACAAAAGGCATCCGAGTTGTTGATGATTAACACAGACCCCATTGACCAGTTTGGTGGCTAACCATTTGGATTTAGCCTTCCATGGATCCATCTTGAATTCTCCCAGATTCAACAATGGTGAACCATACGTATATTGGGTGCAAACAACCTTTTTGTGCTTGATGTTCCATATCTCATTGAAAATGGAAGTTTCTGTTATTGTTCATGTACTCTTCATCTAGCTTAGTAATTGGGATCCGGATTGATCATATGATTCATGGTATAACATAAGGATCGATCTTACCGAAATTTGAGATATGTCGGATGGCTCTAATATGCTTCGGAATGGTTTCGGTTAGTAGTTTGGACGCTTTGGGTGATCTTTTGCCATCAGCTTGAAATCTTCATACTTCTATATAGATAAGCTTATCAATGGAAGTTGTGAAATCTATGAGCATTCTGTGGAAGAACGCGTCTTTAAAGAACTCGTGTTTTTCCCCCCCGAATCAGTTGATGAATCATGGAATGACGGAAGAGCTCCTGGACAAAGTACGAGAACTCTCCAGGCTGTTCTTCGGGCTACCAAACGAAGAGAAGCACAAGTATGCGAGAGAAACGGGTAGTACCGAAGGGTATGGAAACGACATGATATTGTTCGAGGATCAAGTGCTCGATTGGAACGACCGCTTGTTTCTCACTACTCACCCCGAAGGTCAGCGCAAGCTCGAATTCTGGCCCGAAACCCCCGTCGGATTCAGGTAAACTTGTAGCTTACAATGGTAAGAATCTTTGCTCATCGATCAACTTAATCATCATGTATTGTGACCAGTAAGCTAATTTATGTTATCCCGAAGCACAACGTTATCAGTTTTCGGCCAGACATTTCATGACGTTTCTAGTGTCCGGCTGAAAACTGAGAACGTTCTGCTTCGTGATCCCTTTCAATCTAGTCCATATGATGTCGTTTTCGGGAGCTAGGGGAAATGCAGACGGACGAAAATCTCATCATTTCCGGGTACTTTTGCAGGGAAACTGTGCATGAACTCACCAAGAAGCAACGACGATTGTCTGAACAACTCCTCATGGCCATGGCAAGATCGTTGGAGCTGGACGAGAGCCGCTTTCTGCAGATGCAGGGCGATAACTCCACGTTCTATACCAGATTCACCTTCTATCCTCCGTGCCCTAAACCCGACAAAGTTCTCGGAGTCAAGCCACACGCCGACGGATATACAATCACGATTCTCTTACAAGACAAAGAAGTTGAAAGCCTTCAGTTCCTCAAAGATGGGAAGTGGTACAGACCTCCAGTTGTCCCTGCAACCATTCTGGTCGTCCTCGGTGACCAAATCGAGGTAACGAGCTTACAAGTTGTCATCTTTACCGCATATACATATATATATACACACACATACATATACACATGGATTCAGATAATGAGCAATGGAATATACAAGAGCCCGGTGCATAGAGTGGTGACGAACATGGAGAAAGAACGGGTGTCCGTGGCAACGTTTTGGAACCCGGATAGAGAAAGAGACATACAACCTGTGGAGGAGCTGGTGACGGAGACAAGACCGAAGTTGTATAAGACAGTGAACAAGTACCTTGACATATACCACGAGTCCTATCAACGTGGACGAAGACCTATCGAATCTGCAATAATTGAATGAAAGAAAGAAAAAGTTTCGATCGATGAATAATTAATGCAACCGTGTTTGAAAGATTTTAATTTTTAGGGATTGATTCAATTTCGGTAGATGGATGGTCCTTTCGGTTTGGATTTTTTTGGATTTAGAAAAATCATAACAGTTAAATTTTAATATCAGATTTAGTTTGATTACACTTATGTTTTATTTGGTTTAGTTATATGGTTAATAACTAAAATGGCGATGTTCGGCTTTTTACAGTTTTAGTGTTTGGGTCTTTTAACGACCGAATATCCCATCAACGATGTCCGAAATTATCCGATTTTTCCATATATTTGATGCAGCTGGTTGGTTGTACGAGTTTGGATTTGTAAATCAAATTATCCATATATTGGAGTCGAATTTTAATTTTCCACGGTTTTAGGATCCGATAAAAATATTACTATTTTTAATGTTTTTTAAAATTATAAAATTAATCTTTATTTTCTATAATTTAAAAATGAAAGTTTTTTAAAAATTAAAAATATTAATATTTAAAGTAAATTTAAGAGTTTTAAAATTCTTATTTTCGATATTATTTTCATTGGTGTGATGTGATACACAAATATAAAATCAGACTCAATCCTGATACCTTTAAAAAAATTATATCGTTTTAAAGTAAACTACTCATCGAATTACTCTCTATTTTTTTCAATTCATTTAGTTATTTCTGAACTTTTAATTAAAAAATGAAGATTAAAATGAATTTAAAATTTTAAAATGATTTTTTAAATTAAAAAGAGATGAAATTGATAATTTGGTGGAAAATTTTATGAACAAAATAATTGACAGTTGGCTCGGTCATTATCTTTTTATATTTCCGTAAAGCATTTTCTCCGAAGTCAAATGAACAGTCCACGTGTATTTGACCGTTACACAACACGAGTCAATCGCATGCAAGTTCGGAACCCAAAAAAAACATACATAAAACATTACCAAACGGACAGCAAGATCGTATTCGTTATGGAGAAGCCAAAGTTCAAGACTGTCCAAGAAGTCCTCGCCGGCGGCGAAAGCTTTCCGGAGAGGTACATCTGTAAACCCACCGGAGACGGCGAATCTCTCGACGGACCGGTGCCGGAGATGGATATTCCGGCGATCGATCTCAGCCTCCTCCTCTCTTCTTCCCCTGAAGAGCTGACTAAACTTCGGTCCTCTCTCTCCACCTGGGGCGTTGTTCAGGTCTCCTCTTTCTATTCATAAACACAGCAATAATATTTCTATTATTAACATATACTTACACAATTGAATGGTCGTGTTGTTCTCAATCAATTAGGGTTTACAACAAAAAACAAAGCTCCCAAATTCTTGTTCATTTACGCACGTGCACTAAATCCAGACGGCTATGAACTGAATACGTGAGTTCTTGGACAGTGTTTGAAAAGACTTTGTCTTGAAGAAGTTGGAAACAAAAGCACCATAGTTAGGTCTTGTTACATGGATCGATCCAAGAGGGTTGGTTTGGTGGCTGCCAGAGTGGAAACCCGGTTTAGGTCGGTTCGGTTTTGACTAAGAATTGAAATCTCTGTGATGCTAATATGGTCAGGAGAGTATTAATGGTCTTCCAAATTAGATTTTTCCAAAGTTTTAATAACACGTGTGAAATCTACGAATGATAATGCGAACTTAAAGAATGTTTTTTTTGTATGTATTGATTCAAATCAGGTAATGAATCATGGAATGAGGGAAGAGATCGTAGACAAAATGCAAGAACTCTCGAGGCAGTTCTTCGCTCTGCCAACCGAAGAGAAGAAGAAGTACGAAAGGGAGACGGGCAGTATCGAAGGGTATGGAAGCGACATGATATTGTTCGATGATCAAGTTCTTGATTGGAACGACCGCTTGTTTCTCACTACTCATCCCGAAGATCAGCGCAAGCTCGAATTCTGGCCCGAAATCCCCGTCGGATTCAGGTAATATATAATCTTTGGGTTCATCGAACTTATCATGTGTTAACATCTTAATCAGCTTTTGTATTATCGTCTAGAGAGTTAAGTCTTAGTCAGTTCATAACGATATATATAGCGCAAATCCGAAGGCGTATATGCTGCTGCTAATTCGATCTTGGCAGGGAAACTCTGCACGAATTCACCGAGAAGAACCAACAAGTGTGTGAGCAATTCCTCATGGCCATGGCGAGATCGTTGGAGCTAGATGAGAATCGCTTTCTACGGATGCAGGGCGATAACGCGATGTTGAATGCAAGATTCACATTCTATCCTCCGTGCCCTAAACCCGACAAAGTCCTCGGCATCAAGCCTCACGCCGACAGCTCAACAATCACGCTTGTCTTACCAGACATAGAAGTTGAAAGTCTTCAGTTCCTCAAAGATGGGAAGTGGTACAAACCTCCGATTGTCCCCGCAACCATTCTGATCGTCGTCGGTGACCAAATCGAGGTAATGAGCTTACATGTTTTCAACTTTACGGTATATATATATATATATATATATATATATTCTCATGTGGATTCAGATAATGAGCAACGGGATATACAAGAGCCCGATGCATAGAGTGGTGGCGAACATGGAGAGAGAACGAGTGTCCGTGGCGACGTTTTGCAGTCCGGATCCAGAGAGAGACATCCAGCCTGTGGAGGAGTTGGTGACGGAGACAAGTCCGAGGTTGTATAAGACAATGAACAAGTATGTCGACATCTACTTCGAGAACTATCAACGCGGACGACGACCCATCGAATCTGCAATTTTGTAACTAAAAAAGAAGCTTTCATACAAAAGTTTTGAAAGTTTTGTAAATAGTTAATGCAATTGGGTATCCGATATATAGACCTGATTACTTATATATTGTTTTTTATCTCTATTTTTTTTAATTAAAAATTAATATTTTTGTTTTCTTAAACCGAAAACTATCTTAATATTTATTAAAAAATTAAAATATTTTAGAAACCTTTTATTTTATAAAATTCGGATTAAGATTTGAATTTTTTTGGATACCCAAAAATTGATATTATGACATACAAACATAAGGTTATATTTTGTATCTTAATATCAATTCTGTTTATTTAATTTTTTATATGAAATTCCATTTTATTACAATTGTATTTATACAATTCGAATTCATTTGATTTTCAGATATTTTTGTTAAATTCCATAAAACAAAAATTACAATTATATTTGATCATGGTAGTCACCCAGGCACCTGTTCCGATGCGACCCAGACTTTGAAGTTTGAACTCTTCATTAGAAAATAATATAAATAAATGAATAAAATATCACCAACGGACAACAAATCAAAGATGACCAAGATCCAAAGCAAGATCTCGATTCTTTCATCGTCTCTGTGTCCAAATGCTTTTACCAAAATAAAGACTTGACCTTTTCTCTCCCACCAAGATCGTATCAGAAACCTCCTCTGTTTTCATCATGGAGAAGCCAAAGTTCAAGACTGTCCAAGAAGTCATCGTCGGCGGCGAAGGCTTGCCGGAGAGGTATCTACATAAACCCACCGCAGACGGCGAACCTCTCAACGCATCGGTGCCGGAGATGGATATTCCGGCGATCGATCTCAGCCTCCTCTCTTCTTCCACCGAAGAGCTGAGTAAACTTCGCTCCTCTCTCTCCACCTGGGGCGTTGTTCAGGTCTCCTCCTCTCCTTTCATTCTTTTACAGATTCAGCTTCTTTTTTCCCCTCTCTCTGTGCGATTTCTGATTCTGAGAGACGGACAAGATTGAGACAGTGAGTGATTGGTGTTTCCTGGTACTTTTGTCTGGGAGAGATTTCAGACAAAAAGCATCCGAGTTGTTGATGATCAGCACAAACCCTAGAGACCTGTTTGGTAGCTAAGCATTTGGATTCATCCTTCCATGGAGGATTAATACAAGGTTCCATCGGTAGAAACAAAGGATCAACCTTCCATGGAGGATTAAAATCTACTCTTCTAGCTTAGAAGACGATGCTATAAAACTACCTGTGACTATGTTTTGGGTTGCAAACGATTCGAATTCGAGATTTTTTTTGATGCTCGGGAATGGTTTTGAGGTGTAGTTTCGATCTTCGGGCAGATCCCGGTATGCGATTCTAACATTTCTTTCTCATGTTAATGCGATCCAAACCGTTGTAGTGATTCCCCTAACACGATTTCCGAATCTGTTCGTCGATCGTTCTATCGAAGAATCCGTGTCTGAAGAGCGTTTTCTTGTTGGATGAACGCCAGGTGATGAACCACGGAATGACAGAAGAGTTCCTAGACAAAGTGCGAGGAGTTACCGAGCAGTTCTTTGCGCTACCGACGGAAGAGAAGCAGAAGTATGCGAGAGAAACGGGCAGTATCGAAGGATACGGGAGCGACATGATATTGTCCGATGATCAGGTTCTTGATTGGATCGATCGGTTGTATCTTACCACTCACCCCGAAGATCAACGTCAGCTCAAATTCTGGCCTGAAATTCCAGTCGGGTTCAGGTAAACCCTAAACCCTAAACCCTAGCAAGTTATTACAGTATGGCCGATTGAGTTATATCGGTTATGACTGGTTATAGATTGCATTGTATCGGTACATATTCGCAGGGAAACTTTGCACGGATACACTATGAAACAGCAAGAATTCGTCGAGGAATTCCTCAAGGCCATGGCTAGATCGTTGGAGTTGGACGAGAATTGCTTTCTCGAGATGTATGGAGAAAAGGCGATGTTGTTTACGAGATTCAACTTGTATCCCCCGTGCCCGAGACCCGACAACATTCTTGGCCTCAAGCCGCATGCCGATGGCTCGGCAATCACTCTTCTCCTACCGGACAAACAAGTTCAGAGCCTTCAGTTCCTCAAAGACGGGAAGTGGTATAAAGCTCCAACCATCCCCGACACCATTCTTATCAACGTTGGTGACCAAATCGAGGTATTTTCTTTCTCTGATGAAATATATAACAAAAATGGAATGATCTGAAAATGCTCATATGCTAACATATATATATATATATATATATTCGAGGTAATGAGCTTACATGTTTTCAACTTTACGGTATATATATATACACACACATACATATACACATGGATTCAGATAATGAGCAATGGAATATACAAGAGCCCGGTGCATAGAGTGGTGACGAACATGGAGAAAGAACGGGTGTCCGTGGCAACGTTTTGGAACCCGGATAGAGAAAGAGACATACAACCTGTGGAGGAGCTGGTGACGGAGACAAGACCGAAGTTGTATAAGACAGTGAACAAGTACCTTGACATATACCACGAGTCCTATCAACGTGGACGAAGACCTATCGAATCTGCAATAATTGAATGAAAGAAAGAAAAAGTTTCGATCGATGAATAATTAATGCAACCGTGTTTGAAAGATTTTAATTTTTAGGGATTGATTCAATTTCGGTCATAGAGTGGTGACGAACACGGAGAAGCAAAGGATATCGGTGGCGACGTTTTGCGTCCCGGGGCCGGATAAAGAGATTCAACCCGCGGAAGGGCTCGTGACCGAGACAAGACCGAGGTTGTACAAGACAGTTAAGAAGTACGTCGAGACCTACTTCGATTATTATCAGCAGGGACGAAGGCCTATCGAAGCTGCAATAATCTGATCGAAGTTTTGTTCAGTCCTGTTCGAGTTTCGCCGTCCAACAATGCTTGTCGGGAGATCGAGGTTGTACATTTTCAGTCCTTTTCCCTGCCCCGAGCTTTTTTTTCCCGAGAAAATCGTTTTTTTCCTTGTCGGAATCGATGATTTGTTGAGTTACTTAACGAATCAATGACAGTAACTGTGATAGAAGTTCATACATCTGCAGGTGGTGGTTGACTCGATAAAGACATCAACTTTTAAATAAATACATTAACCAGGGCCATCTAGCAAGTGCAAAAGGTGGCCCCATAAATTTGGAAGCCTATTTTTAAAGTTATTTATTAATATTAATTATATATTATTGTAATAATAAATATAAATTTGAAGAATATTATTTTAATTTAACATTGATTGATCGAAGAAAGAAAGAAGACTACTTTCCCAAAATGCTTACGGAAGGTGGGGAGACATCAAATTGATTCCATTTTAAAAATCATTACTCTAATCAATTTTTTGATATAATTATTATACATTATATTATTGTACAAATAAATATGATATTATATAAATTACTTATAATGTAAAATTTTTATTAATTCAAATTTAATATTAAATTGATTTTATAATTATTGAAATATATCAATAATAATTAAAAAATTATTTAAAAATTGAAAATGAATTGTATTTATTTTAAAAAACCTAAATTTATGGATTTTTTAAAAAAAATATTATTCTTATCATTAATAAAAAAAAACATTACAAAATTTATTGATTATATTTAAATCATTTTTATTATAAAACTTAATGATTTTTAAAATCATTATTAGTTTTATTAATAATTTTTTATTATATTAATTTATCTATTTTATTAAATATTTTTAATAATATTATTTTTATTATATAAATTTATAGTTTTTATCGATATAATTTTGTATAATGTACAGGGCCTCCAAAAAAATTTGAGACGGCCCTACATTACCTTTTTTCTATTTTTCTATGTAAATAAATTAATTATTTGAAATATCTAGAATTTTCAGAGTATTAGACGACGCTATAAAAATAGATCTGATTTTTATCAACTTCAGGTTTAATGCAGTTACTTTAAAAATATAAACATTCTTATGATAGCAGTTTAATGATGATATTGTTTGTTTTGAATTTGAGACGGCCCTACATTACCTTTTTTCTATTTTTCTATGTAAATAAATTAATTATTTGAAATATCTAGAATTTTCAGAGTATTAGACGACGCTATAAAAATAGATCTGATTTTTATCAACTTCAGGTTTAATGCAGTTACTTTAAAAATATAAACATTCTTATGATAGCAGTTTAATGATGATATTGTTTGTTTTGATGGTAATCGGGTAATATTTTTGAAAGTTTATATATTTATATAGATTTTTAGTAATTTTAATGTATGAAAAGAAGAGTTATTTGAGAGTTTTTAACATATTAATACGATTTCTTTTTTATAAAATTTTCTGTGTTTTCAATAAAATTAAACTATTGATCTCATTTTTTACGGCAGTACTAATTTTTCGATAATAAAATTTTCTAGTTCCGTCTATAAGTCTATTATATATATATTGTCGTTGGTGTATAAAATTTTGATCGTAATTTTTTTGGTATTGAGAAAACCAAACAAGCTTTCGGTTATTATAAAATAACCGGGAACCGGTTTTAGAATCATTGACCAGAAGGGAAAAGCCATCGCTGCCCATTTTTAAGGGAGGGGGAAGATTCGAATCTCTCTCGGAACATTCCAAAAAAAGAAATTTGAGTTCAACGGCTACAAGCTCTCCGGACAAAATCAGTTCATCCCATGTTTTTTTTTTTAAAATTTTCTCTGTTTATTGTTCTAAAACTAGCAATTCCAACTTCATCGTCCCCTGTTGTCTTCACAGTTATAATCTCTCCTCAGAGACCCCACAAACTCAAAAATAAAAAATAAAAAAAATCTCTCCCTCCCTCTCCTCTGTTTGATCGGAAATTTCCCCTTCTCCGGTTTCCGACGCCGTCAGAGGGAGAAATTTCGGATCTTGAGAAAAGGGTCTGAAGAATCTTCGCCCATATCCTCCGAAAAACCTCCATTGATGGCGATGACGGTCTTGTCTCCAAGAAAAGCAGAATCCATTACAGAGAAGGTGTTTGGTCGGGTTTATGGAAATGCCAGTTTTGCCCTCACCGTCGGAACCGCTGGAGACGGCGGCAGAGAAGAGGAGTGTCGACGTCACAGTCACCGGCACTGTCAGCACAGGCATATGAAGCATTGTAACGGCGACAACAACAACAACTACGTCGACAGCGACGAGGATTGCTGTTTCAGCGATGAAGAGGAATCTGCAATGGAGCTCGTCCAGATTGGTGCGGAAAAGAAGAAGAACGTTCTGATCCTCATGAGCGACACTGGCGGCGGTCACCGTGCCTCGGCCGAGGCCATTCGCGACGCTTTCAAGATCGAATTCGGGGATGAATACAAGGTAAGTGTGGAGATGGGTCGTGTACCCGAGACTTTCGGATAACCGAATCCGAAAGACCCTTTTTCTTAAAATATATGATGATGATGATGATGATGATGATGATGGATGCTTTTATGTATGCTAATGAATGATGATATCGTCAGATAATAGTGAAGGATGTGTGGAAGGAGTACACAGGATGGCCATTGAACGATATGGAAAGATCTTACAAGTTCATGGTGAAGCATGTTCAGCTCTGGAAGGTTGCCTTCCTCACCACTTCCCCCAAATGGA